CCCCCCCCCCCCCCCCCCCCAAAAAAAAAAAAAAGAAACCCAAAAGAGCGTCCCATAGTCAATATAGAAATTTTATCCCGAGTTAAATTTATACTGACAATTACACTCTTTTCCATATTAACTTTAAAAGCCCCGAGATCACCTCAACACTCATCCACAATCTTCTTCAAATTCAATTTTTTTTCCTCACTCCTTGAGGAGAAAAAAATGGTAGCATTTTCAAATTGTAGATGTGACTCTGAAATTCTATCCTCCCAATCACAAAACCTTCCACCAAATTATGCGCCTCCGTCCTCACAACCATCATGTTTAAACCATCCACCACTTGATTGAACAAAAAAAAGACAGAGGATCTTCTTGCATCAATCCCCTTGAAGCCTTAAACTTGCCCCAAGGCTTTCCATTCAACATGATTGAGAAGTTCATTGATTGCAGACATCCTTGAATTCTCCATCTCCATCTCCATCCAAATCCATTTACTTCCATAACAAAATCCAAGAAATCCCAGTCAACATGGTCATATGCATTTTCAAAGTCAATCTTAAACACAAACACTCCGCCTCTAGCCCTATAATCTTCCACCACCTCATTGGCCACAAAAGCCACATCCAAAATATGTCTTTCTTTCATAAAAGCCCCTTGATTCATAGAAATTGTCTCACTCAAACATTCCCCAAATCATAGGGACAACACCTTAGCAATGATTTATACAAGACTCGAGACTAAATTAATTGGCCTAAATTCCTTTATCCTTGGGGAACATTCCTTTTTAGGTGTTGTGAAATGTTTAAACAAAAATAATTTGGGATTTGTAGGAATGATCCAGAGTTTTTCCAAAATGCTCCAGGCTTCTAAATTCACAGGATTTCTATAAGTTGGATGGATGGTCCTAAACCATTTCCTTGAGCTAACCTAACACTCAAACTCGTAAACTTCATTCCCATGATGTGTAGACCTCTTTGGGAACCATCTGACACTAGTCGTAAATGACGAAAGGGCTCTTTCATCATGCCTTGTGCTCATGTATGTGAATTTATCTGGGAAACATCATCTTATGAGTTCCTCTTTATGAAATACATTAGCTTGCATTAATGGCTAATTAATATTTTCAAATGCCCTGTACATGCAGTCCGAAAAATTCATAGTAAAACAACAATAGCCACCAGCTTACCCTATTGATTTGATCTTGTTGTTGGCCACTTCTTATTGGAGAACTTTTTGAGGCTCTATTCTTAGANGTGTACATGCAGTCCGAAAAATTCATAGTAAAACAACAATAGCCACCAGCTTGCCCTATTGAGTTGATCTTGTTGTTGGCCACTTCTTATTGGAGAACTTTTTGAGGCTCTATTCTTAGANGAAGTTCATTGATTGCAGACATCCTTGAATTCTCCATCTCCATCTCCATCCAAATCCATTTACTTCCATAACAAAATCCAAGAAATCCCAGTCAACATGGTCATATGCATTTTCAAAGTCAATCTTAAACACAAACACTCCGCCTCTAGCCCTATAATCTTCCACCACCTCATTGGCCACAAAAGCCACATCCAAAATATGTCTTTCTTTCATAAAAGCCCCTTGATTCATAGAAATTGTCTCACTCAAACATTCCCCAAATCATAGGGACAACACCTTAGCAATGATTTATACAAGACTCGAGACTAAATTAATTGGCCTAAATTCCTTTATCCTTGGGGAACATTCCTTTTTAGGTATTAAGCAAATTAATGTAGCATTAGTAATTGCATTAATCACACCCTCTTGAGGTGTTGTGAAATGTTTAAACAAAAATAATTTGGGATTTGTAGGAATGATCCAGAGTTTTTCCAAAATGCTCCAGGCTTCTAAATTCACAGGATTTCTATAAGTTGGATGGATGGTCCTAAACCATTTCCTTGAGCTAACCTAACACTCAAACTCGTAAACTTCATTCCCATGATGTGTAGACCTCTTTGGGAACCATCTGACACTAGTCGTAAATGACGAAAGGGCTCTTTCATCATGCCTTGTGCTCATGTATGTGAATTTATCTGGGAAACATCATCTTATGAGTTCCTCTTTATGAAATACATTAGCTTGCATTAATGGCTAATTAATATTTTCAAATGCCCTGTACATGCAGTCCGAAAAATTCATAGTAAAACAACAATAGCCACCAGCTTACCCTATTGATTTGATCTTGTTGTTGGCCACTTCTTATTGGAGAACTTTTTGAGGCTCTATTCTTAGAATGTTTATTGGCTTCATGCAGGACATCTGAATCTTTCTCACCAATTTGCCTGCCAAGATATAATCCCATGGCTTTTTTATATGCTTATGTGCATTATTTCGATGTGAGTAAGCCTTCAATTCACAAATTATTTTCTTACCCATATTCAAAATATATGGTCAATTGGAGTCGGCGATTCCATTTAATATTGGTATCACAGGAATTGCTGTTTTGCTGATTCCTTCAGTCACGTGGTCTTCCCTTGTGTATTGTTCAACAAATGACATGAATTATACATATTCTTTGCTAGGGTGATACATATTTGATGTTGCTTACAACAAGTTCAGAAGCCTTTTATCATCTCAAAGATTGCAGGTAAATTTTTTGTTTAGAGAATTTGGTTAGTGGAACGTGAAATGCAACTATGATGTTTATTCATTCCTTCTTTTTTGGTGTCTGGGTGTTCAGACTTCAGACCTCTTAGAATATACGACCTATCCTCAGATACATGACTCCACCCCAAAAATTGTGCTCCGGGCAAGCAGACCGAACTTGTTGAATAGGCCCTAGGGAAGACTCGACCTTCAGCTTTTTGAAATGGGCCCCTAGTCTTCTTGTCTACCCTTGTTTCCATTCTTTAAATGAATTTGCCATACATTTTGGCCTGAAATGAAATTACTGACTATGGTTTTATAGGAGAGGGAGTGAATTTTGTTTTTCTCATGTGCGCAAAAGATTTCAAGTCTCATCTTTTTGCATATGAATGACTGTAGGCCTTTCCTCTTTTATTGTGTAAAGAAATTCAATGTATTGGTAGGATACGTATTGAAATGGTTCTCTTGAAGTCCAATGTTCTAACTGAAGTTCAAAGATCATTGGTGGATGGTGGGATGCATGTTGAGGTTTTGCCCATTGATTCATCTCCTAGTTCTGGATCTTCATCTCCCCATTTAGGTCAACTGAGACCTGCAACAGACTCGCCAGAGAGGTTCAGGGAAGCAATTGTTAGCATTGGGGGTCCTGCTGGTCTTTGGCATTTTGTATATCGCAGTATTTATTTGAACCAATATGTATCTTCTGAATTTTCATCACCAATCCATGGTCCCCGACAGCAGAAAAGGTAATAGCATTATATCCGACAGCAACTTTTATGGACATAAATTTTGTGCTACTTTCCACCAGAAAAGGTGTTTGTGCTGTATTTCTGCAAGTTGACTGGTTTCTTATTTTGCAGATTGTATAGAGCTTACCAAAAGCTTTATGCATCCATGCATGATAAAGGAATTGGACCGCACAAAACTCAGTTTAGAAGGGATGAAAACTATGGTATGAAAGTTCTTTTTCTAATTGATACTTTCTCAGAAAGGTGACACTGATAAACCATGTTTTCTTATACCAAATTGAGATGATTCAAAGTTTCAATGTGGCACCGATTTTCATTGACTGTTAAAGGGATATATACTGTGGAAATTCATGTCCCACTCGACAGTTTCGGTGAAGTGATTTGGTCAAGATCAGAAACAAATGGAAATACAAAATGGAACCTTTTCAGTAGCTAACACGTGTTGAAGTATAAATCATAGTTTAAAACCCGGTCTGGACAGCAACCCGGTAAAGGGACCGAGTCAATGGGTCAGTTGAGTCACTGGTCGGACCGATCATATAATAAAAAATTAAAAATAATAATAAATAGGCAAAAAAAATTACAATAATTATAAAAATAGCATCAACCAAGTAAAGTAGAAAAAAAAATTCAAATATTAAAAATAATAATAAATAGGCTAAAAAATCACAATAATTATAAAAATAGCATCAAACAGGTAAAGTAGAAAAAAATTCTCAAACTTGTATTCAATACATTCAATTTCTAATACAACTTGTAAAGTTAAGCAGAGAAAATTTTATCTATTTAAGTTCAACTGTTCAAGGCTCCAAGTCCAAGTTTGGTTCAAGCATTATTTATTGACTAATCAAAGACCACCATTTATCTAGATTCAAGCTTAAAATTTTCTATCATCAACAGCATCCCAACAATATTAAAAATATAGATTCGAGCTTATAAAGCTCTTACATCAACAAATGAAAATAATTGAAAACCAATGCATGAAAACCACCTTAAACAAAATAATTGATCAAACAATATGCCTCAATTAATGGCATAATTCTTGAAATAGACCCCTATAAAATCTTAATTGCATAATCATAGGTAGCAATACAAGTATACAACACAGCTCTAAGACTAAGACTAAGATTGTATTACCAAAAATTCAAAGCTTCAATGTATAAAATCAAAAATCAATTATTGCAAATTAGAGCATGTACATGTTAGACAGTTAGAGAGTAGAGTCAGTAGACTGTAGAGATAGAGAGACCGAGAGAGATAGCACGTAGTGTACCTGCTGGCTGCTTTTATCAATGGTAGTCCTCGATGCTTTGATGGACCTTTGAAGCAGCCTTTGTCCCTTGCTTGCTTGTTTGCAATGGCTGAAACTCGAGAGAGAGAGAGAGAGAGAGAACTAAGAGTCTGAGACACAGAGAGAGAGGGAGAACGACTGAACGAGAGGGAACGACTGAACGCGAGAGAGAGTATACCTGCTGCTGGTTAAATTAGAATATATTTACATATCACAAAGCAATATTCTAATTTTTTTTCTAGTTAATTAGTTTGAAAAAATATAGACGAAAAANTGTAGTGTACCTGTTGGCTGCTTTTATCAATGGTAGTCCTCGATGCTTTGATGGACCTTTGAAGCAGCCTTTTTCCCTTGCTTGCTTGCTTGTTTGCAATGGCTGAAACGAGAGAGAGAGAGAGAGAGAGAGAGAGAGAACTAAGAGTCTGAGACACAGAGAGAGAGGGAGAACGACTGAACGAGAGGGAACGACTGAACGCGAGAGAGAGTATACCTGCTGCTGGTTAAATTAGAATATATTTACATATCACAAAGCAATATTCTAATTTTTTTTCTAGTTAATTAGTTTGAAAAAATATAGACGAAAAACCTTTAATTCACTATTTATTTCTATGAACCCCTTTCAATATTTTTTCAGAGTTCTTATGTAGAGCCAGATATTTGAGAAATCTTGGTTTGTAATTAAAAGAATTAAAGAAAATATACTCAAAGAGATTTGGGTCTACATATAATATAGTCCCATATTCTCTCTAATATTTTTTTTTCCTTTATAGATCATTTAGTATGTATTAATAAAAGGATACATTTATATAAAATAGGCTCTATTTAAAAAAAATGATAGGTGATGTAATAAAAAATAAGAAATAAATTAAAGAGAATTACACGTGGCTTTACAAGAAGAAAGGGCAAGCTTGTGAAGTGAAACCACAAAATAAAGAGTACAAGTGAATAAAGTGAGATTTGCACCCAAAAAAAGTTAAAGTGGTTGGTGATCCACAACAGCTTTGCGTTAATCGGAAGTTGAGGCGTAACTAGCGGCTGTGATTCGAAGAATTTTTAAGGGCCCACAAAAGTATGCGTGTTAATCAATTTGTTTGGTTAATTAAATTGATTAATCAATTTGTTATATGCTCTATTTGATTAATCAATTTGTGACTGCACAATCACGGTGGGAGTCGAACTCACATTTGCTAGTTTTCCATTTAGATGACGTGATTATGTCAATTGATTATTTTTAGAATGCAATAATATTCAATATTTAATATCTTGTCTATTTAAAATATGTAGAGTTAAAACTTGAATTTTTGGGAATAATTAAAGTACTAAACTAAAATATTTGTTTATTGTTTATATTGTTCGCTTCGCTTCTCGCCTAGGCACTCAAGAGACCGGTTCGCTTTGGTTCGTTTTACGCCTTAAATAACACGGTGTTGTACTTCATTTTCTAAGGTGCATCATTGTGGTCAAGCCATTTATGTTTTAACTTTAGGCTTATCACTTGCCATTAAGATTTATGCTTATTTGTACTGCTTTACAGATAGACTGTGTTTATCATTGTCAACTGCTGGTTGGAGCCTTTTCAGCTGTGTCAACCAGCTGATCGCTTTAGATTTTAGGGCACTGAATCTGACATGCAGACAATTGAGTTATCATTCACACTAGCCTATGCATCATTGCCATGGAATCGAAAATGCTAGTTCTTCGGCTGATTTTTATTTGATACCTTTCGGAACTTATTTTGGTTCACATATCTTGATCCTGTTAAAGGCTGCAGCATCAATTTTAATTTCCATGTCAGAAACTATGTCTCAGATTCTTCTCTTTGTTTTTCTGCTTATTGATCTGTGACTGAGATTCTACAGCAATCAATGTCAAATAGTTCAACTTTATTGAGCTTTCTTCTTTTACTTTTTCCTTCATTATATTTGTAGTTGGAGTTCACACAATGTTATCTGAATCTGCTTTCTACAGTTTGGAACTGTTTACTTTAAATTACTGATTATTATCAGTTCCCTGTAATGTAATAGTTGTCTATCTTATAATTTCTTGAGTACAGAGCTTCATCTGACGAAATTAAATTATTTCTTCTTGCGTGGCAGTTTTACTCTGCTGGGTCACCCAGGATTTTGAACTCTATGCGGCATTTGATCCACTGGCAGACAAGGTTTGATTATTGGGATTTTGCAATCTGTAGCATTGAATATCCATGCCAAACATACATGTTTCCTTGACTTATAATTAGCAATTAAGAGAAGCACGTTCTATCAAAATGCAATGTGTGAGACATCAAATATTCTTGGTTGCTTTTGGCGGTATACTTCCACTTTAAACCCTTTTGAATTACAATGCTTATAAAGTTCTATATTAGAAATTTGGTAGAATTACTTTCATTTTTTTCTTGAATTGAAAGCTAAAACTAGAATTTCTTCAAATGTATGAGTAGTTCACATTGTTGGATATATAGTCCCAGTTTAGGGGTAGCTTATAACATAATGTCCACATAGATGCTGCCTTTTCTGACATATCACATCATTAAGAGTTTTCAGCCACAGCAGTGTTAGACAAGAAAGCCTGTTTGTTCCTGTATGGAGGTGTTCTTGGCAACTTCCTGGCTGCTGCTCAACATGGATTATTGATTCTGCGATCAAACCTGTTATCTTGCTCTTTTCTGTTGACATGCTTCAATTTTGTTACTTACCAAGAAAAAGAAAAGCAGATAAGAGTGAAAATTTCTCATGAAGCTAGCTGTAGTTAATGTTACCAAGGTTGCTAATATCATTGAAAAATGTGGGAAAAACAAAGCAATCGAGCTGCCTGTTGTGCATCTTCTTTTTGGTTGGTGTTTAGCCAAGTTTTGATAAATTTCTTCTTGCAGGCTTTGGCGATAAAGATTTGCAACCGGGTCTGTCAATGGGTGAAAGATGTGGAAAACGAAATTTTTTTGTTGGGAGCAAGCCCGTTTTCATGGTGATTCTCCCCAAATATGCCGTACACAGAGTATGTACTGTACTTGTGTTTCCTTAAAATAAAATTTTCCCCCATTTTTTGACAGTACCTGTGTAAAATTTTACTTGTATTTCCGTAGCTGTGATTGTACCTCTTTACAAAGCCACAAATGCATATTACATAACAAGGATTTGTATCACTTCGTTTTTGGCTTTTGTATTCGAGAAGAGTTGGAAAATTTATTTATATCAAAGGCATTTTCTTAGAGGTAATACTTTTTCATCTTTTGCTCTTTTCTTTATTTGTTTTCTGTTTTGGAAAGGGCGGGGGAATGTAACTGTGTTATTTGCAGACATTGTTTGTTAACTTTATCATTCTAAGTCCATTAGATTGACAGTAGAACTCACCATTAGTTGGGATCTATTATCAATTAATAGTTATGATCCATCATGTCAGCAAATAATGTCAGTAAATTAGATATAAATAGCATTAAGAAAAGAAACGAAAAGAGTTACTTGTGCTTCTATTCTTTTGAAAATTTTGTCAAACTCAAGAGGCTAAAATCTTTATGGACATTTTAATGATTTCGAAAGTCAAATTTCATCAACTTCGGAGTTAAAAAAAAAAAGAAGATGTTTCCCACTAACAATGGATCTGATGGTGAAATTGGACGTTCATATCATAATTGCCGATTATTGACCATTAACCCCCTAAAAAGTATAGTTCCACATCATCGCGAGTATGAACTATTGGACTATTGGTGTAATCTTACTTCCTCGAGTCGACCCCATGGAGATTCCTAGGTCCCATGACTCGAAAATCATTTTAGTCAAAAGAGAGCACAAATTAACCATTATAGCTTTGCAACAACAAAACCAGTGAAGACCTTTTGCAGCATGGTCTATTTTCTCTGCCAAAGCAATCGTGGCGGGGTTGACTTAGAGCAAGTAGAGTCATTTTTTCTAAATTCATCTCACATGTCTTAAAGTTCGAGTCTTGTAATAGACGTCTTGAACTTATATCTGATCCATTGATTGTAAAACTTGTCGATCATCATCATCATCACCCTAGTCTTTTTAATCCTTCATTGCAGGTTCCTAGTGATGAGACTGGGAGGGCTTGAAACCAAGCATACACGGCCTCGAAGGGGAAATGGTTGTGCTCGCATACTAGCAATCCATGAATGCAGCTTGGAAATGGTTATGCCCGGTGGGTGAAATAGCCGAGCTGGTCGGATTTGAAATAATANTCTGTCAATGGGTGAAAGATGTGGAAAACGAAATTTTTTTGTTGGGAGCAAGCCCGTTTTCATGGTGATTCTCCCCAAATATGCCGTACACAGAGTATGTACTGTACTTGTGTTTCCTTAAAATAAAATTTTCCCCCATTTTTTGACAGTACCTGTGTAAAATTTTACTTGTGTTTCCGTAGCTGTGATTGTACCTCTTTACAAAGCCACAAATGCATATTACATAACGAGGATTTGTATCACTTCGTTTTTGGCTTCTGTATTCGAGAAGAGTTGGAAAATTTATTTATATCAAAGGCATTTTCTTAGAGGTAATACTTTTTCATCTTTTGCTCTTTTCTTTATTTGTTTTCTGTTTTGGAAAGGGCGGGGGAATGTAACTGTGTTATTTGCAGACATTGTTTGTTAACTTTATCATTCTAAGTCCATTAGATTGACAGTAGAACTCACCATTAGTTGGGATCTATTATCAATTAATAGTTATGATCCATCATGTCAGCAAATAATGTCAGTAAATTAGATATAAATAGCATTAAGAAAAGAAACGAAAAGAGTTACTTGTGCTTCTATTCTTTTGAAAATTTTGTCAAACTCAAGAGGCTAAAATCTTTATGGACATTTTAATGATTTCGGAAGTCAAATTTCATCAACTTCGGAGTTAAAAAAAAAAAAAGATGTTTCCCACTACCAATGGATCTGATGGTGAAATTGGACGTTCATATCATAATTGCCGATTATTGACCATTAACCCCCTAAAAAGTATAGTTCCACATCATCGCGAGTATGAACTATTGGACTATTGGTGTAATCTTACTTCCTCGAGTCGACCCCATGGAGATTCCTAGGTCCCATGACTCGAAAATCATTTTAGTCAAAAGAGAGCACAAATTAACCACTATAGCTTTGCAACAACAAAACCAGTGNGTAATCGGTTAAAATGAAAAGGGGGTCACATGGCATCCAACTTAAATAATTTATTTTTGTCTAGACTAAGAAAAAAATTAGTTAATGTGTGCGTAAATTGGTCTGAACATTCTTAATCATTTAGAAAAAAAAAAAAAAAGGGAGTCGCGTTTGTGCAATTAGAAATTGTGGCATACATAACGTAAAATATATTTTAAACTATGCATTACGTTCTTTTGTTTTAGAACATGCAGAGAATAGAAGTGGGATGGGGGAAAAATGAACGATTAATATGGGTGGTTGAAAGTATCCATAAAAAAGAGATCGAAGTGAAAGTGAAAATCTTAAGTTGGTGAACGTGTCTGTGTGTGTACCAACGACTTTTTAGCTCAAGGTAAAAATTCAAAGTTTTTCACTCAATANTGGCCTCCAAGGGGAAATGGTTGTGCTCGCATACTAGCAATCCATGAATGCAGCTTGGAAATGGTTATGCCCAGTGGGTGAAATAGCCGAGCTGGTCGGATTTGAAATAATGACAAATACCCGTTCATATCTCGAATTGAAGTTCATAAATTATTCTCTCCAAAATTAANTATAACAAATTCAAATCTTAAATATATATTAGCGTAGTTAGCAATAAATGATGTTATTGTAGCGAAAGTGAACCAAAAATTTTAGGAGCAATATTATTGGGACCTAATTTGTTGACTTAATTCATTGTGATCTTTGAATTTACTGTAACTCCATCCAATATTAGAACTTGATGTTGATCTAATGATTCCTATGAAGTCACATCACTATGTCAACAAATTAGGTCAAATTTTTAGATGCAAACAGCATCACTCAAATTTTAATTCCTAATGTAATGGTACCTAACAAGACTCTAGAGGATGAGGAAGACACAATCATTTTGAAGGTGAATGAAAACTTTGGAGGATTAGGAAAATAAGTTTGGTTCGTTTGGATTCAAGTTTATTGGGCGATTTTTTCATTAATATTTTGGATAAAAATAATTTTTATCAGCACCAAGGAAAAATTAAAAAATAGGGTTNCATAACAAATTCAAATCTTAAATATATATTAGCGTAGATAGCAATAAATGATGTTATTGTAGCGAAAGTGGACCAAAAATTTTAGGAGCAATATTATTGGGACCTAATTTGTTGACTTAATTTATTGTGATCTTTGAATTTACTGTAAACTTCATCCAATATTAGAACTTGGTGTTGATCTAATAATTCCTATGAAGTTACATCACTATGTCAACAAATTAGATTAAATTTTTAGGTGTAAATAGTATTACTCAAATTTTAATTCCTAATGTAATGGTACCGAACAAGACTCTAGAGGATGAGGAAGACACAATCTGTTTGTAGGTGAATGAAAACTTTGGAGGATTAGGAAAATAAGTTTGGTTCGTTTGGATTCAAGTTTATTGGGCGATTTTTTCATTAATATTTTGGATAAAAATAATTTTTATCAGCACCAAGGAAAAATTAAAAAATAGGGTTTACCCCTTACATCTTTGTTAAAGAAAATAAGTGAAAAATAAATTATTATTTAAAATATAAATATTAAACGATTAATACTTAATTTTTGATATTATTGGGTAACTTCAGAGATGAAGTTATTACTAATTAAAAAGTATGATTGATTATATAGTCAATTTAGGTGGAGAAAAAAAAAGTTGGGGTACAATGCATAAGAGGAAGTTTGGTGCCCGAAAAAAGAGACTATAATAATGAATGAATGAGTCAAGATATCCCTCCTCTAGTACTTACAAGTTATTATTACATCATAGACTAATTTATTTGAAAAAATTGCACATATTTGGTCTAATAAATAAGAAATTACATCAATCAAAAATACTTTTACCTCTAAATTACTAGTTAATCTGAACTCAACCACTAATTTTGTGAAGTCCTATTGTCACCACGGAATCTAATCTAGTTAACAGATATTAAAAATAAAATACACAAAACAACTTTTATATTTTGTTTAAGGTTTTAATGAAAATTAGGGATGAAATTAAATGGTAAACTATAAGACTGATAATCGAGCCGAGTTTGTCGATTGTTTTTTTGAACGAGCTTAATAAATTGTTCAAACTTGGTTCGTTTAGAAAATGAGTAGAACCCAGTCCAAAACAAGTTGAACTTGAACTCAACTCAAATAATTCAATTATTTTATATATAAATGAGTCGAGTTTTGTAATATTGAATTGAGCTTTGTAGGCTCATTTTTTTAAACAAAATTAAAAAAAATTATTCAAGTTCTAATCATTTAAAATACTAACCAAACTTAAATCGAACTTAAACCAAATCCGAATGGCTTGGCCCAATTATGAGCCTTAGTCAACTGTGGTTTATTTCACTAAATACTTTATCAAAAAAAAATTCTCAAATTGATTTACCAAATTAATGAGAAGTATGTGATGCGTGGATTTTATTAAAAAATAACAAGGATGATTTATATTGATTTAATAAACTAAAAAAAAACATATTTCAATGTACCAAAAAATATAAATAAATAAATAAACTAAAAAAATTGATAAACATTTTTTTGACGAAGTATACCATCCATGCACAGCACGCGATTCAGTTGACTACAACGGTACGACCCCATGAAAAAGGCATTAAATATTCCCCAATAATTAACAACTCCAAAAAAACCACCACCTTTACTTCTCTCTTGCATTTCCCTCCCCCCCCCCCCCCCCCCCCCCCCCCC